TTTTTTAAAAAAAAAAAAAAAAAAAAAAATAACAATAGCAACAGATATACAGATACTAATCTTAAAGTTATACATTTTATTTCTTTGTGTGCACTTTGTGTGCCTTTTTTGTTTCATGTGCCATTAAAAGTATACATCGAATAATTATATAAAATTAATATCTTAATAACAAGAAATATTTGGTATTAAAATTACTATTGTTAAAATTAAAAAGAAAATTTTATAAAATTTAAATACTTAAGGGAATGCTGGCATCACGTTGTTTTATCAATCGAACGCAATAATTTTTCATATGTATTGTTTTTACAGATTTAAAAATTCTCCAGAATTAAAATTTAGACAATAACGCAGTCCGGATTACACGATTTCATCGTGAACAAAATTCGAAAAACAAAATTCGAAATTAGTTTTATTGCAAACTTCTAACATCGATTCATAACTTTTATAAAAAAATATTTTTATAAAAAATATACTTTTATAAAAAAATGTATACTTTGTACAATATGTATAATATAAAATAAGCTTTGTGCGGATTAGGAACTACACGGAACAACAATACTGTACTTTTAGAAATATTCCTAGGAACTTTAGTATAAAAGACAAAACTGTGTAAAAATTGTATAAAAATTATTATTATATTACTACTATAATTCTGTCGGGATTACATTATAAAAGTCTGAAAAATCAATTCAGCGTACAATTTTCATGATGACATATGTAGTATTGAATTATTTAAACACTTAAGCTCCAGCTTCAATCGTTAAAGGCTTTTATTTCCTATCGGTTGTATAAAAATTTAGATATTGATGTATAGTAATATATAATGATTTGCTGATATTTCGTAAATATGTGTAAATCGGTAAAACAACAATCCCGTCACTGTTCGGTTATCATGTCAGTATCCCCTTAATAGAAAATCGATAAATCTTTTGCCTCAAATTATAAAGGCTATATTAAAGAAAATAAAAGTAATATAGTAATGATTAATTATAAAAAGACGTACTTTTCATTCAAGAAGGTCCATTTACCATCCATCAGTTTGTACAAACTAACTTGTAACCCACTAATTGGAACTCCCTTGATATTATCCACAACATATGTAGAAATTCGCAATTTTTTCGATGTTTCCCTGGCTGGTTTCCCTGGCGATTTTCCGCTAATCTAGAATAAATAAAGACGTTAATAATAGCCTACGTTCTGGAGCACATAAAGAACGAATAAAAAATTACACATTTTTTTTTTTTCAATATTGGAAAGTGGCTCAATGTTAAGAAGGTTAAGTAAAAAGGAGCATACAGCCACGCTAGAGATGTCAAAAAGTTATAATTCAATAATAAACATTTTACATAGTAGACGTTTCGGTCACGATTTGACCATCCTCAGTACAAAAATAAAAATAAAATAATAACCTTAAACTATTTAAATCTAATTATTAAAATCTTATTCTTAATGTTAGTAAGTGTAATATCTCGCTTCTTCTTATGCGTTATTCGCATTGATGTCCGCATTTAACAATATAATGTTTTTTGATACAATCAATTAACATAAATTTGAACGAATTAACGTTAGAATGTACAGAATTCCTCTTTTTTCTATCGTGTGGAATCATTTCCGATTGTAACTATTATCAGGCTGTCTCAAGTTCCAAAAAGGACGACGAACCGCCGCAGAGAGACACG